CACGCGCCACCATGCCCAGCTAATTTTTTGTATTTTTAGTAGAGACGGGGTTTCACCATGTTGACCAGGATGGTCTTGATCTCTTGACCTTGTGATACACCCACCTCAGCCTCCCAAAGTGCGGGGATTACAGGCTTGAGCCACCGCGCCCGGCCGATGTGACATATTTTAATGTCACTATGTCAGCTGAGTGAAGGACAAATGGTAAGGTGCAAGGGTGGAAGCAGGATACCACTTAGAAGGCTATGGCAAGGTTAAGGCGAGAAAAAAAAAAGTAACAGCAAAGTCTTACAGAGGTTATAGTGCACCAGGCACTATTAGATAAGATGTAAACTTGTCTAATTCTCCTAGCAATCTTATTAAGTCAGATGAGAAAACCAAGGCCCATAGCGAGGTTAAATAACCTAATCAGAGTCACAAAACAAGTGAGGCTCCAGTCTGGGTCCAGGTTCACTGTAATGTTCAGCTCATAATAAGGAAACTGATCAGCACAGTAGAGGTGAAGGTGATGACAACTGGTTGGCTGTAGCTATAGCTCAACAGTGGAGCCAACAGGATAAGCAGTGGATGGATAGACATATTACAGTGCATCATCCCGTTTTTATCTTCGTCCTCATGAGATGGCAAAGGCAGGCAGGCAGAAGGGACTGCTACCATCACGTGTGAGAAAGCCAGCCTGAGTGGCTGATCCAAGTCATCCTGCCAAGTGAAGGCCACAGTTCACTTGGCCTCAGGGCTTGTGACCCATTTTCTCTACCCACCAGCTGCTTCCTATAGTATTTCACCTCTGTGACAATGGCTGCACTGGTGGAGTCTCCTCAGCGTGTCTCTCTGTCTTTCCAGCACTGCCTGGAGAAAGTTTCCTCCCACTTAGTGGCACCCCTCCTGCCAGCCTGCAGCATCTGCCCTTGGAAGACCCTTCCTACCTGGAGAGAAGCTTTGTCTGTCGGTTCCGCTGCCTGCTGGACAATTCTTCTGGGTTTCTGGTAATTATAGTGTCTTTACAGGGTCAGGACTTGCAAAACCAGCATTTAAGTCTGCTCAGGTGGAGCACTGCCCAAGGCTTGGGCCAAGCCTCCTCACTACCCCAGAAATGGTCCTCAGAGCTTCAGCTCACTAACATTTCAGAGTGTCATGCCTGTTGAAGACTGAGTTGTCTTTTGAAACTTCCTCTGCCTAGTTAAGACTTGGGATATATTTACTTAAAATTCAAATACACTCTGGTACAACCCTACATTGGGGACTGCCCAGTTAATTCAGGATGTTAACATCCATCTCCTTCACTATCACCTGGAATTGTATATCCCCTCACAGCTTAACACTACACTCTGCAGCTTTGGGAAAAGAGCTGCATGGGTCAGGGCCCTGAGGGAGGGGCTGAGGAGCCATGAAAAATGAGCACCTGCTGGGCAGGCCAGAAGAATGCGGTTCCAGGCCTGCACACACGTGTGCTATGTGGGGGTTTCAAGGGGAGCTCTGCCTGTTTGGCTCCCAGCAGGGTACTGGGCTCCTCTGAATTCCATAAGGGGAAAAGTTTATACAGGTTTAGCTACTTAACATCCTCTTGTATTCTGTGATCATTATGTTTGTGGTTTTCTTTTTCCAGGAATTGAATTTCCAGGGCCATCTCAAATTCCTCCCTGGGCAGAACACTAAGTCAGAAGACAGCACCTTCTTGTCTCCTCAGCTAACCCTGCTGGCCACTGCAACACCTCGTCAGCCTCTCACCATCCTAGAGCTCCAAAACAAAACATTTCTTTTCCAAACAAAACACAAACTGGATTTCACACCTATAGCCTGTGATTCCAGGTATACTCCTCTGACTGGAAATCATGACTCCTAGGAGCAGTGCTCCAAGACTAGTTACGGCAAAATCCTGAGCCTAGAACCAAAGGCAAGGCACGAATAATTAGCCAATCCTGTCCAAATGGGTTCTGCGAAATGAGTCAGTAGAAAATACGCTGTGTTTACAGACAATGTACCAAATCTTCCATGTAAGATAGAGCATTTGAGTGAGGTGTGATACGGAGAGTAAATCTTGGGAAATACTTATCTCCTTCTTGGAGACTCCCATTAACAGATCATAGCGAAGCCCCAAGAAGTCCCATTAGGAAGAAATCTAATTAGTTTGGTCCATTTTTTTCACTTACTTAACAATGGAAGCCTTCTTGGGCAAATACCCACATGCAATACCAGTGTTTCTTAGAATGGAGTCTAGAAAACACTGGCTTAAGAGTAAGTAGTATGTAGTAGTATGACTTGCAGGGTTCATCTTTTCTGCTAAGATAATGGTGACCCATTTGATGGAAGCCGTGGAATACTTAAAAACACCACGTGTTCTCCCTCAAGCACAATTTTGTGTACAGTTTGAGATTCTCTTTACTCCAGGACAGGAACGCTTGCTCTACACCACAGGCCAATAAGAACAGGCTTAAAGCAGAATTATGAAACTGCATGTGTGGCAGAAGTGTCTAAGAGGTCACCACTATCTTTTCACTGTGGCTGCCCCTTAAAGGTCTCGCCCCAGCCGTGGTGATGGGAGAGGTGCCCTCCCAGACCTGGTTTTCCAGGCGTGGGGTAGGGCAGTGAGTCTTCATTCCTCCCGGCATTCCGCTTCCGCGCTGAAATATAAGGACGCGCGGTGTCTCCTCTACAGAGGGAAGGTGATTCTGGGCTACACCGACAGCGAGCTCTGCAGGAGGGGATCCGGCTACCAGTTCATCCACGCGGCAGACATGATGTACTGCGCCGAGAACCACGTGCGGAGTGAGTTCCAGAGGCGCCCCGGGGGCCTCAGGCTGCCCTGGGAGGGAGGCGGGCTAGACCCTCGCACCCCGCCCGGGGCTCCTCCCGCGGGGCGGCTCCTGACGGCTCCGAGAAGGGTTGGCGGGCGGCCTCGGGACGGCCCGTCTCTCCTCTGTCTTCTGCAGTGATGAGGACGGGCGAGAGCGGGCTCACGGTGTTCCGGCTGCTCACCAAGCAGGCCGGCTGGCTGTGGGTGCAGTCCAACGCGCGCCTGGTGTTCCGCGGCGGCCGGCCCGCGTGCATCGTCGCCAGACAGAGGGCCCTCACGTAAATGGTCCGGGCGCCCCGGCAGAGGCGGGGGCCGCGTCTTAGGGGCGCAGCCTGACGGAAATGGAGGCCCCGGAGGTGGCCTTGCGAGGGCCGGGTCTCGACTGAGGTCCCACGGCCGTGTAGTACGTGCGAATCCCTGGGACCGGTCGTAAGTGAGGGGCCGGCGTCTGCATCATCAAGGCGAGACGGAAGTGAAGCCACCCCCACCCCTCACCCCTCCAGGCCACGCTGCTGGTCCCGGCCCTGTCGGGCCCGGTCGTAAGTGAGGTTCCGGCGTCTGCGTCATCAAGGCGAGACGGAAGTGAAGCCCCGCAGGCCACGCTGCTTGTCCCGACCCTGTCGTGAGGGGCGGAAATGAGAGCCAAGCAGAAGGCGGGCTGATGGCGGCGAGTACGGTGTCCGTACCCCACGAGGCCGCCACCCCAGAGTGCCTTCGTATCCTCCAGGCCTGAGCCGGCGGCCCCAGGCCCCTCTTGTCCAATTCTTTGACATTGAACTGTGGTTCTTGCGTCAAGGGATTACGTAGCATCTAGTATGTCTAGTCCTTTTTCTTCCTTTCCTCCATCAAACATGCACATGCCTGTCACAGGGTTTTATTGTGACTGAACAGCAAAAATCCTTGAGCATATGGTTTTTCACCTCATTTTCCTCTCTCTTAGAAATCAAGTGGAAGTATAATATTAAAGGCCATAGTTCCAGTAGGGGGGCATTTCTCTTGCTTTTCCAGCTAATACTGAGGCCAAAAAGTATTACATAGAAACATCAACTGTCTCTTCTTAAGCCCATTTAGTTTAAACTGGTCCCAATGTTCAACAGTACGTCCTAAGAGTGAGTCCTTTGGGATCAGTGTCGTGGTTCCCATGAAGGAGGCAGGTGATGTTGAAAGAAAAGTTCCAAACCTGCGAGATTGTATTGTCACTGGCCAAGTTCCACTAAAAAGGCTAAGAGAGGTTTTTAAGGCCAGGTGCATTAATGAGGGGATCCCTGCTGAAAATCAAATTCTCTTATTCACACTATCTGAATAATATAAATGAGCTGAGCCATGAATCTTGGATAAAGCACAACATGGAATCTGACAAAAGAAATGTCAAATAAGCAAAGGAAATGAAGAGAACTTAGATGGGGGTGACCAGAGCAATCAGGCTCTGGGCAATTAGTGGCAGCGTGGGTTGGACAAGCAAAGCTGATTTGCCCAAATCCAAGAAAAGAACGTTTTTTTAGTGTTCAAATGAAACAAAACAGCACGGAGAAAAGTCCCCTGATTTTCATCCTAGTGCTTCTAACCTCCTGGGAATACAGCCCAGCAAGTCCCAGCCTCAATTTTCCTATCCCTCACTCATGATGGAATCACTCTGGTTCCTGAATAGGAAGCTCTTCATTCTCCGGGTTCACTGATTCCCTTCCTCCTGTACCACAGGCGCAGCTGCTCACTGCTTGCAAAGCCAATGACAAGGGCCAAGTGCAGTGAAAGGAAAGCGACTTTATTTTCCAAAGCTAGCAGTGGGGAAGCAGCTAGCTTATGACTCTAGAAACTGCTTCAAAAGTTTGGGCTAAGGTCAGCGATTTTAAAAAAGGGAAGCTTGATATGGGAGGCATGCAGGCATTATGCAGGATTCAAAGGACACGTGTTTCGCCCCAGTGCCTGTCTTCAGTTAAGATCGACCTGGAGTTTCAGGCTGATGCCATCTTGACAGTGGCTGGGTGGTAGTCTGTCCATCTTGAGACAGTCTTTAAGAGGAAGAGAACGCAACAGCTAGGGATTTATGCTTGTTTCTTTTTAAATTAGCCTCTGGTACTTCTTAACAAGCATATAGTTAGTTAAGTGTGCATGGTGTGAGTTTAACAAGCATTCATTAGATAAATGTGCATAATGGAAAAGGGAAGGGGTAGAGTTTTAAAGTGCACTTCAGGGCCATATTTCAAGACTAAGGAAAAGGCTTCTGCGGTTTGCTTCAAGGTTACACCTTGAAACTGGGGGGAAAACAGAGGAAAAAAAAACATTTTTAGTGTATTTTGAAGCTGAATTATGTGATTACGCTAATATGCCAAATTCTGAGGCCTCTACCAAAATGGCTACAAGTATTGAAGCCCTGAATACTAACTGCAGAGAATTCAAGACTCCATTTGCCTAGAATTTAAATTCTTAACCTAGAATCTTCCATCAACCATATTCAGTGGAAGTTGCTGTCTTCCATTGCATGCTGCAGAAATGAAACGTGAAAGGAAAATGAAAACTTGGGATCCCAATTCACTTTGCCCAAGGAAAAATTAAGCTGAAAGCTGAGTCATGCAAGAAGCTGTATTTCCTTTTGTTCTTAAGTCGATAGTTACAGATAAAAAGTTAAATATCTCCATGAGTAGCTACTCCAAGTTCACCTTATCTTACTGAGCAAGAGACAAATACATGATTGACTATTCCCTGACTTGCTCCCTTTCTCTTGCAACATGTGGATTCAGGAATATGACTAGGCCACCCTCTCCCCTCCAGCCTGCTCTTCTCCTTTAAATACTGATGCCCTCAAAATCATCTTTGGAGAACAGACTTGTCTCCAAGGTGCATGTCCTTAACCTTGGCAAAATAAACTTCTAAATTGATTGAGACCTGTCTCATATACTTTTTGGTTTACACTAGCAATGTGCCTCCTCAGAAATGGCATTTCTTCAGCCTACTTTCCTCACTTCTGCTGTAATTCTGTGCCATGTGGTCTTCTAAGAGGAAAGGAATCAAAGCTGTCACTCTGTAGGCTCATCTCAGGGCAGGGCAGACTAATAGCAGCTCCTATGACACTTCCTGGGTGATGCAGAATGTCTGCCATTAACTTTCAGAAGACCAAGATTTCATGTTGAAATCTTGTCAGCCTATAGCCTACTGTGTAGACTATGATGTGCATACTAGCAGAAAGCATTTCATTGTTGTTTCTTTTTACATTGCCAGGATATCAGACCGCAAAATGTTCTTTTCCATCCTGTGAACCTGCATGGCCCAGCCCCCATATGGCTCTGTGGCATGTCTGTATGAAATGGATGGTCAGAATGGGAAATGTAATGATGAATGTCTTAGTCCATTTTCTGTTGCTTATAACACTTTTAAATAATGACACTGGCACACTGAAAGTACTTAGATGTAAAGAAGCATAAGATATAAACAGTGAACACAGGAACACCAGAGTAGCCACACTAACATGAGACAACGCAAATTTAAAGACAAGGGTGTAACAAAAGGTATGAAGTGGGCTTCAGCTTCTTGAAAAGTTCATCCAGTGATAGAGTGTCCTGTGTCCATATCATGCTGGTCAGCTTCTGCCAGACACTACATTTTAATTCAGCTAGTTCTCTGTGGGACTTCAAACAGAATTTGCAGTTCCAAGCATGGACAGATCACCGAAGGAAGGTTCCAAACCTTGCTGGGTATGGTACAGTCACAGTGTTAGTGACTGTCAGGGCAGCCTGTTAATAGCCATGTCCCATGAGTCTGTTGGAAGGGAGGAAGGAAGGGAGAAATCATTCTACCCAGTGACAAATAGTCCATATGTCATTTTTGTGTAATGATTTATTTTCAAAGTAAACTTGAAGTTTAGGGAATTCCTACATTGAATTTTGGAATGCTCATCCCACATGTAAGCAGTTTTATCTGAGACTATTTCATAATGCAAGATAGAGAGTATTTATGCAGAATATTGTACTCCAGAAAATGCAAGAGAAGAGCAGGTGAACTTGCTATTGTGGCTCTTCTTTTTTCCTTGGCTGGAAAAGACAGAAAAGATGCTGTCCTGCCCCTTCCTCATTCACATACCCGTTCCTGGATATGCGTTTGTGTTTCCTTAACCACAGGAATGTGGAGGGTGAGGAGCACCTGCGCAAGCGGGACCTGCAGCTGCCGTTCACTTTCACTACCGGGGAGGCCATCCTGTATGAGAGCAGCCTCCCGAGCGCCCTGACTGCGCTCCCGGCCAGGAAGAGGACCAGGGCTAGGAAGGCTCTTCCAGCTGGCCAGGACCCTTCATGCCCAGGCTCTCTCTTTGGAGCCATGGTGCAGCAAGATGAATCCATGTACTTGTCCTGCATTAGCCCCACCCTCCAGGTCTCACTCTTGGAGAGGCAGGGGTCTGACAACAGATGTAAGGACAGGGAAAGGAAAGAGGAGGAGGAAGGCAGCTCCCTCCTGGCCCTCATTGAGACCCTGCTGGAGAAGGACAAGGAAGAACAGCCCAACCTTTGTTCCACCCTCCAGCACCTGGGTGTCACCAATCTCAGCCAGCATCTGTGCGAAGAGAAGCTTCAAGGAGCTGACTTGGGCCCTGCAGGACCTCAGAGCTGCCACCTGCCACCACCCAGCCGAGGAAGAGGACTCCACAGGGAGAAGAAGACCCACTCTTATGACAGTGGGAACGTGGACTTGTCCCCACCAGCCAGAATGACTTCTCTGCAGACCCTGAAGCCACCATCTTCTCAGGCCTCAGGCCAGCTAGCCACGGAAGCAGCTCCACCTCCAAACATGGTCTTGGGGCCCAGCTACCCTCAAGCACATCCCTGGCATTGTCTCATCACTGGCCCCTCTATCCCTGGCTCCACACTCCAGAACCTCCTCCGAGGCCCCCGACAGTGGTGGCCTCAGCACAGCCAGGCGGTGCCTTTGAACTTTGAGATGTGCCAGAAGCCAGCCTTTGACCTCAGCGCACTGCCCCCAGCCTCCAGCCCAAGCCACCCTGCTCAGGGTTTTCAGCCAAGCCACACACCTTTTCTCTCTGTAGGAGAAAATGTTCCTGGACACCTGGCTCCACCAGGCCCTGGTGTTCTGGATTTTTGCAAAGAATCTATGCTCTGGACCTCCACACACAGTGGTCAGGATCAGGGGTCCTTGATCCCCTCAGATCCTGCTTTCTGTGTCAACCCATGTGGTACCCACCATTTAGGCAGCATTTGGGATTCCCCCATCCAGGGCCACTCACTTGCAGTCCCCATGGAGGTGGCGGCAGGGCAGAAAGTAGGGCAGGCCCAGCCTGACCCCTTCAGCCGCCCGTGGGTGGTTGACCACTGCCTTCCATGGACAGGGCCGCCCAGTCCCAGCTTGTGCAGGGGTCAGCCCCCATCTGTGCAGGGGGCACCTGGGACACCAGAGGAAACATCTGGAGTTGGAGAGCATCCACCCCACTCTCTGGGGCCAGGCCAGCTTTCCAGGAGTCCAGCCTGTCCTTCCCAAGTACTTCTGCATAGACCCTCGGCCATGCGGGGCTCTTACACTGCAGACCCCGACCGGGCCACCAAGCAGCTGCAGTGGGTGCAGGTGGGGCTGCAAAGCAAGGAGCACTGCGAGCCAGTGAGAGAAGGGGCACCAAGTGTCTATCACCAGGCTGGCCACCCGAGAGACACCATTCCCCAGGCTCCTCAGCAGAACCCCTTCCCATCCCCTGACTCTACCAGCACTCCCCACATGCAGGTGGCAACCGCTACAGCAGCCCAGCAGAGCTCATGAGACAGGCCAAAGATAGACCACAGGTGCCACCTTGCCTGGCCCAGCCTATCTGCCCCCCTGACCTGGCCTGGCCTCCCACGTCCATGCAGGGCAGCTATGACATTAGGCTCCAGGTAGGTGTTGGCACACAGGGTCTCAGAAAGCCAGGAGCGGCAGGGAAGGGCACCCCACCACACTGGTCAGGCACAGAGCTGCTGGCAAATGTGGACATGACAAGGCCTTAGCCCAGACAGACAGTATAAGGAGGGGTGGTGGAGCTGGCCCAGCCTCGGCTTGGGTTGCTGTGGGGTCCAGAGTGGGGACACAGAGAGATTTTGCAAAGGTAGCAGGTTACTGCCATTGTGGGTCACGTGAAGCCAGTGGTGGTGGCGGCAGCAGCCCACAGGAGGGCCCCGCCTGGTGTCTTCTGGGCTATCGCTGAGCTGCCTGGGTGCTCCCCGTAATTTAGCCCAGCTTTGGACCACAAGAACTTGACTCAGTCACAGATATCTGAATGTGGTCCTCTTGCAACCCGCTGCGTGCACCACTTCCAACATCCCATGCAGAGACCAGCACTCCTCCTTTGGCTGGTGCTGCTGGAGGCCCTCTGCAGGCTTGAAGTCTTCATGTAACTAACTTTCCCCCAGAAACACAGCTTTGGTTGGAAATCACAGGAGAGTGTACCTGCTTCCCTCACCTTCTGTCTTGGTTTCTGGGCAATGCCCTCAGGACTAAGCAGAGGTGTGTAGCTGTTTCCCTGAACACTAAATGGCCCCAAATAGCCCCATCTTGAGTCCTCCCCCGACTTTGCTGGGTTTTCTGTCCCTTCTCATTGGACACTGCAACCCCTCACTTCTGCTTTCCGGGCTCTCAGGCTGCCCATGTCTAGGGTCCCTGCTCACCTCTCTTCCCATTGTTTTGTTTTCATCTGTTATAGGTTAGAAAATCTGAAGACAAGATTTGATACACTTACCTGAAACCAAAATAAACAGATTCCTAATCAAAGCCTAAATAAATAAGTATCAATTTTAGACTCCTCGAACTAACCCTCTTCTTTTTTCAACAAATCTGTTCTTACTCAGTTTCCTGTTTTCCTAACAGCGTGTTCCCAAAACAAAGGTCACCACAACATGGTACTGGGGATTCCAGGCCCAAAAGGAAACACGTTTCCCCAAGTCTGACATAGGAAGGCAGTGTCGTGCTCTGCATGTCTACCAAGGTGATTTGGGGCCTTAACTGCTGACATGTTCCCTGAAATTGAAGTTTCTTAAGCTCTCAGATTACTGGGTGAATGTTTAACTTTTTTCTGTGGGTATAATTACACATACCTGAAAGCTTAATCTCTGGATCCCAAAGATATACTTTTCAACTTCATTTAATTCAGTGCACTTTATACTAAAGGAAATGCATACAGAATTCTCTTTGCTTAGAAAGTTATTTCTGAACCCATAAAAATGTTCAAAGGAAAGGGATACAAGGAGCATGCACCAGCAGACGTGCCCAGACGTTCATCTGGAAGGGGCCCCACAGCCATGGTGTTTGGGGACCATGTTTCCAGGCTGTGGGCTGAGGCTCAGCATTGGATGAGTGAGGGGCCACGTGGCCTCCTGTTTGCAATCACGGCCATCCCAGGTGCCCAGGTAGAGGCCACTGAATGCCCAGTTCTTCGATCACTGTAGGGCACTGACGGCCGCAGGTAGAGAAGGCAAGAGTGACCCTTTGGCCTGGACACCTGAGGGGCTCATGATTCACACGATCTGGACCCACGGTAAGTGGGTGGTCTGCAGAGTCTGTGCAGGAAGATGGCGTCTGGTCTGAAGGGAGGTGCAGGGATGCTGTTGGTTGAAACATTCAGGCAGCAGGATACCTTGAGATGCAGGAGTGTGGGGCCACAGTCCCACAGCAGAGTGAAAGAAGAACCTGGCGACGCTCAGATAGTCACTGCCTTCTCCTGCATAAAGCGTTCAGAGCCGCAAAGGCGTACTGTAGCACTTGCATTTACTCCTGTGTCTTAGCACCATAGAGTTCATTGTTCAGGAACTGAAATGAACCTGGATATCACCAGTGCGACCTCCTTCATTTACATGTGTCCATAGGCACAACCCCATGGCCCAGGCCCATTTGTCCTGCTCACTACTGTCACCCCAAGCCAGACACACAGTAGGTGCTTAGTGAATTTTTGTTCTGTAGATGAACAAATGAATGAGGGAATGAATGGATGAGTGGACAAAGAAACCACAGAAAGAAGGCACTAGGAGGCCCAGGGACTCTCCCAGTGCACAGCCTAGGTGAGGACCCTTCCCCTGCCTTCTGAGTTCACCACTGCTCATTAGATTGTTGAGCTGCACACAGCAGGGGAAGGAAGAGGGAAGCCATTCTTGCCCAGTTTTCAACAGAGTTGTGCATTCCCAGGTGTTGATGAGGCTGTTTTATGACAGGAAGTCTGTTATCTTGGACTCTTAGGCCAAAAACACTGAGGCATCAATTAAAGCCCTGCAGCTCAACACAGAGGAGTGAAAATAAACGCCAAAATATTCACCAGCACTTCAATAAATGCTCTAACCTTCTCTCTCAAATGAAAAAACGTGGTGTCCCACTGTGAGGTAAGGCTGCATTTCTAATATCACGTAGAATCTGAATGTGGGCAGCTTTGTGCCCTAACAGGCCGAGGTGTGACTGGACTGCTGTTTATTCTCTCCTCTGCCCTGCTCTCTGTCAAAGAAATCAGTTCAATCACAGCAGTGCATGTGCTTGAACACTGAGAATTCAGTCTTAATGTGAAAAGCTGTCTTACGGTATTTTTAACGTGGCTTTAACTCTCATAAAGGCATGAGCTTTATGAGAGTGCTCAAAAGCTTTCCATGTGAAGTGCAGATTCATTACATGTATGTAACAGTTAATATGTACATCTCATTTCTCTGTGTTGTTTGGTTACTGCTATGGACTGTAATACAACATTGAGGGTCAACACACAGCTTATGTGAATGTATCTGCTGTTTCATATTTCTGAGTACAAATCACACCCAGAACTTGCTGGATTAAAGCCTTGGTCATCCGTTTGCTCATCATGATGCAATATGAGCTGGGCTCAGCTGGTGGTTCTGCTGGACTCACCAAGGTCATCATGTGACTGTGGTCATTTGGCACCTCAGCTGGGGCTACAGGGTCTAAAATGGCCCTAATCACGTTTAGCAGTTTGCCGGGTGTCAGCCGGGGCGCCTTGGTTATCTTACCTGTGGCATCTCCAGATGGAGATCCAGGATGTCTTATCTGCAGCATGTTCCAAGAAGGCAGGCCCAGTGTATTCGAACTTATCAGGCCTCTGTTTGGGCAGATGTGCTGACCCCCATTGGCCAAGCCAAGTCACGGGGCTAAGCCCTGACTCAGAGTACAGGGCAGTGCACAGGGTCATAAGTACCGGGAGGTGGGCTTGATGTGGACCCCTAACAGCCTTCACTCACTAGCCACACAGCAGTCTCCAAGTTACCAGGTGAGTGGCGCCCATCACAGCCATCTGAATGTGAGCTTTGGGAACCAGCCTACAGGAGTCCACGTAACTCATGCTGTGGCAGGGCTAACCGTTAGAGACAGGGACTCATAGAACAGGCGAGGGTGGGGAGAGAAGTTCCATCTTATCTCCAGACACAGTGTGGTCCTCAGGAGGAACTTCACTTGGGCTTAGCTGAGGTGTGGGGCCCTCCCTGTGCACCTCCTGTCTCCTCTCCTTCTCCCTTTCTTTGGAACACCGGGTCCCTCCTGCTGCCCAGCCATGACCACAGCCTGTCCACGCCTTCACTCCCTCCCTTACATCAGCTGAGAAATCAGGAGAGAAGACAGTAGGTGAGCACTTAACTGAATGAAAGGCACAAAGCCCGGCGTGCCCTCAGCCCTTCCTGAAGCCTTACATTTTTAAGAGGGTGTTCGTTGACTCACCAACCTCTTGTGAACCCCCAAAATCTGAGACAGGTCTCAGTTAATTTAGAAAGTTTATTTTCCAAAGGTTGAAGACACCCACCTGAGACACAGCCTCAGGAGATCCTGATGACATGTGCCCAAGGTGGTGAGAGCACAGTTTGGTTTTATACATTTTAGGGAGACATGAGACATCAATCAACACATGCAGGATGAACATTGGTTCAGGCTGGAAAGGCGGGACACCTCAAAGTGGGGAGGCGGCTTCCAGGTCATAGGTGGATAAGGGGCACATGGGTGCATTCTTTTGGGTTTCTGATCAGCCTCTCCAAAGGACGTAATCATATATGCATTTATCTCAGTGAGCAGAGGGGTGACTTTGAATAGGTTGGGAGGCAGATTTGCCCTAAGCAGTTCCCAGATTGACTTTTCCCTTAACTTAATGATTTTGGGGGCTGAGATATTTTCCTTTCACACTCTCCTTAGAGCACTTCCTAAAACACAGGGGCTGGGAAGTCTGTCTTGTGAGGCAGAAGACATTGACTCTAACCCAGCTTCCTACATGGCCCTGCCCTTCCCAGAATCACTCCAAGGCTCTCATTTATCTACTTGTGCTCTGCAAAGATCAAGAAGAGCCAGAGGAACATCTGCATGTCGCCCTTGGTGGGGTTTCTGGAGGTCAGCAAGCTCTATGGTGTAGTTGTTGTATGTCCTGGGAGACCCACCTCCCTCTGCCTGTACATAAAGTGACTCTTGTCACTCAACAGGCGACCTGAGGAAGCTGCTTTGAGAAGGTAGCCAGCTATCAAACATGTTTGTGTATGAGACATGCCTTTTAAAATTTAAAAGAGCACTCCCAGGTTTTCTGTTTCTTGTACGCACAGGTTTGCTTGCGTACTTAGAATAATGTCTTTAAAGATGCAAATTTATTAATTTGGGTCACCGTAGGGGGGAGACCCCATAAAAGCCAAGGCAGGAGCCAGAAGCCTCAGCCTATTTTAATATAAACAATGAAGAAAAAAGTAACTTTAGTTATTCATAGGTGATCTTAATTCTTTTACTAATGCCTCTCAAGTGGAAGTGTGAACCTGGGGCACATTGTGAAAGGAATGACCTAAGGCAAGATGCTCTAAGCCCTCTGTCACGCCCCATCCACCCGTCTAAG